CTTTGAAGCTCGCGGCTAATCGATCTGGATTATGAAGTAAAGGAAACTAAATTATAAACGCCTACGACGATTGAATGTATTTTAGGTAATAGTTGCATATTTCGTTCAATTTAGAAAATTACTGCAAAAATTGCCGCTGCATGCACGCACTGGTAATTTCGGATGAAATAGAAGGACTTCCTATGCTGAATAAATTACGCTCGTTCACAGTTATAATCACCCAATTTGTTTGTTAGATGCAATTTATCAACGGCTTAATCTCACTTCAGCGGGCGTTGATGATGATTTATACCTTCCATTTCCAGATTACGTCCATTACGGTAACGGCGTGGAATTGTGTTAATCATTTGTTGGAGCGCGAAAATGCGTAATTTTCAAAATACGTTTTTGTCCTCTTCATGTGTAATTGAAATACTTCGCAGAGATTTTGCGTCGTTTTTCTTTCAAGTTGCAGACTATGCAAGAAATGCGCCACTAGTCTGTAGAACTGGATGGTCGGAAGGCGCCAGTAGTCATGTTACATGAGCCGATGGGAAAGAAGTTGCAGACTACTTCATTATTTTTTTCTTAAATAATTTATTCCTTAATTATTTACAATCTTGAAACAAGTAACAAAATAATAAAAGTAATACTTGTTAAATTTCACTTACCACTCTCAGATCTTATAAAGTGTCGTAAAAAGTAATTATTTGTCACTCAAGGGATCTCTTTTTTTGTAAATAAAAGTCATTTTGCAATCGCGCATTAAGGTTAATCACTTATGGAAATAGTTTTAGTATGAAAGAACAATTAATTGTTAGCACCTGGAAACAATTGTGATTTTTAGGTGCGAAATAAGTAATTTACCTAAAACTTTTGTCTTGCGTTCTATTCTTTAATAGTTGTGGGAATTGGGTGAATGCCAACTATTTTCGTCTAATTCAATTTTAAACACCTACTAATTAATAACTTGTTTTAATACCTAAAAACATAAGGGAATTGTAGATATTATTGATTTTTTTTTAATGAATCGTTTTCATTTCTTAAAATTTACTCTGATTGCAATTCTTGGCAGAGTAACAATTAAAGGTGAGACCGGACATTTTGCAATAGCTTCTAACGTTACACATAATTGTTTTGAAACGGATATACTAATAAATTTGTAATACAAATCATAATTGCTTCTCAGGATGCAGTCATTCTTCTTTCTACGTACAATTATAGAATAAGCCTAATTTGATCTAATTATGTGTAAAATCTTAGGGGTTGCGTATGGATTTATTTATGTTTGAATGCTGTTCCAAATTTAGTTCACGTGTGCTCGGTGTCTGTACCCTTCTTTACCATCGCAATTAAACGAACCAACCCTTTCAAAGCTGAACTAAAGCGTGGAAGAAAAAATCAGTTCCATACATCCACTTCCTGCTAAGATTAACCCACATACAGTTGTACAGCTGCTCGGATATTCATTTAGAATTATTCAGGGCACGTGTTTTATTTACTTCTAAAACTATTCTTTATTTAGTCCCCCCATCCCTGTTGTACAAATACAAAGTACAACTTGTTTATGTAATACCAATTTGTCGGGTACACATAAAACATACATACGTTTATGATACAAAATAAAACGTGTGCATTGCGTAAACTATAAAACAATAAATATAACTATACATCGATAATTACTTGTTGTAGAATTTGGTGTTTAATGTTTATTTGGCTTTCTAAATTGTATAATAAAATGTAAAATCTGAAGGACTGAAGATTGGTATCTTACAAAAGGGCGCGGTGCTTCAAACAAGAATCGTGATCGAAAATTTTAATATCTCACAATGTGTTTTGGAACGCATTCTGGGACGCCGGAAGGATAGAACTTTTCTTTTTGTCGGCCATTTGGTCAGAATACTAAGTAAAAAAATCTTCCTATTCGGGACTGGTTCTGAATGGTGCGTTCCGATGAAACTGTATCGCAATGCATCTAATTAGGTTTAATTTCAATGAAATGAATATTTTACAGTACGTCCAGCAAAGTGTGAAGTTTGAATAGGATTCTAATTACTATGAAGTTAAAAAAAATTGTGAAAAAAAACTTAATTAGTTTATTACTTCTATTAGGTAATCGCATAAAAAGATGTAACGGAGATGAATTGTAAAGAAATAAGCTTGAAAAGGAATTAACTACATTATTTTAATAGAAAGAAATATAATAATATACTATAGAAATAGACAATAAATTAAAATATAAACTTAGAATTATAGGCGTTTATGTAGTGTTGCTTATAAAATTTGTTAATTGCGTAAATGTAAATGAGTAATCAAGGCTAAATCCATTTATTTTTAGACTGTTATTTTTGTCCTTAAAGTGGGTTAAAATCGCTTAAAATTCGTGTTTTTGTTTGTTTTTTTTTTCAAGAGAATGCAGTGAGCGAAGACCTACCCTAAATGGGAATAAATCTTCTCGGGTTGCAGCCTTATTTGCAGCACACATGGTGCCGTGAGGGTGACGCCGAAAAGGGTCAGCGGATCTTTGAGCTCGTGCCATTTGGCGTCTTATTTACATCCTGTACCAAACAAATTTCCTGCAACATAAGGCTCCCCAACCAACACCTACCTTTCACAACAAAACTGAAAAAAAAACATGAATTTTGAAGCATATGTCACGCTTAAAATGATTCTCTATGTTGAAAAAAATCTTACTCTTAATCTTAAGACAGTGATGGTTTATCAAATTAATAGATATTTCTTTTAATAACGAAAAACATTAATTTACTTTTAATTAACGAAAAAATATTAATTAATATCGGCCTCAATCTGCTACGTAAGATGGATTCGTCGCGAATGCTGTGAGAAATTGGTTGCGCGCAATATTAATTGAACATTACAGGAAATGGATTATCCACGTTGTATCTTAATCGTCCTGCATTATAACTAGGTGCAGTGTTATGGGAAGGAAGTGTTGGCATTCCGAAAATTCAACACAGTTACGCAACAATCTTCCCGCTATTTATGACTGATATTTTTGGCTCGGACATGTTTTCATCCTGTTCTTTGATGAATCGGGAATGAATCTAATTATCCGAGAAGCCATCACATAAATCGGCGAAATTCCCTCCTTACTACAAACTAATATTATCCATTCGGGTTGTAATTTTAGTACATCAGTTCGCGCGTCCGCACGTGCGACCAGTTTTGTAGTTTTTTTTTACTTCGTCTTCTTCATAATATTTTGATCCTCTACGGAAAATAGAGAAACACCGCATGGACAGCTGAAACCTTTCCATCAAGCTTAATTGAAAACAACTTACCGTTTCCATTAATTTTGAAATGCCATTTGAGAGTTTTTTTTTATAACTATATTTGCTTTACGCGTGTTTTCCTGAATAACTATTTAATTTTAGAGTGTATTGGAAACCCGTTGAGCAAGTTATTGTTACGACTTATTTTTACTATTGCTTTACCAATTTACGACTACTGGTTAGTGGATGAATATAATTTGATATAAATAGAGAAATTGCATAATTACTATGTTATTATACCTGAAGGTATGGAACGGATCCTTTGAGCTCTTTGTGTGGTCTGAGCTGTTATTAAAGATTGTGTGCTTTTTTTTGTTGGGGGATGTTTAAATTTGAGAACGTGCCGAACAATGACCGCAACGAGTAGCACAGGAAGGAGGGTATTTTAATGGTAATCGAACACCCATGGAAGTTGGATCGTTTAGCTTAACATTAAGAACGGCCCATAAGGGCCTCGAAGGAGAGGCGAGGGTGAATTATCCGGTCCGGAAATAGAGCGTATTCTTGTCGAGCACGTGCTCGCATCCTCGAATGCAATTGTGCCTTTGGTGCGTTGGCAATATGTATTCAAAAATTGGTAAATCCAATGCCCGTTCTTCAGGAATGTAAATGATCGCGAGATCCGCCTCGGGCTGTCCCATAATGAGTTGATTTCCTTAATGGCGCTTTTTGTGGTGTCTTGAAACCGCATGATTGTATAATTCACATATCCTCTCAACCAACGAGATGCAACTGAAATATGTGTTAATATGAAAGTAAGTGCGTTGGAATTATGTAATCGCCTCTGAATCCTTATCGTGACAAGGGGTATACAAATTGATGATTACACGCTCTGTAAGCAGGCTCATCGCGATGATTTCATGCTCGATTTACATGTATTGCTTCAAAATTACCGAAGAGTTCGAAAGTATATGAAGAAAACATACATTAATCATTGGTAGACCGCGACGCTCCGCTTTTATATTTGATCTCACCACCGGATACGTCGCGACGCTCAACATCCACCGATAAAAAATAGTCCAGTTTTAGTTCGGCTGCCTACAAATATACACACTTTTCATGGTTTATACTCAATCGTTGAAAGAAAATCGTTAGCTTTCTGCATAAACAGACAGAATGTACACAATACCGAGAAGAAACCTTATTAACGAAATCATTCCAGCTTGCAATATTCACGTAAGGCTTTCCAATTTAATTATCTGCATTATTATGTATAAAATAAATATATTACAAACATAATTTATTTACTTTATTTATTAAATTTGCAGTTTTCTGCAGTTTTTTTTAATAACATCTTCCATATGGAACATTCATTTAATAATTTTGATATTGATTAATGGCTAGAATGTAATTATATATTTTCTTGTTTGTTACGGTAATAATCCACCTACTATTGTAATTCAATTTATGAATTTAATATTATATAAGTCCGGTATGGTCTAGTGGCTAGGATACCTGGCTCTCACCCAGGAGGCTCGGGTTCGATTCCCGGTACCGGAATTCTTTTTATATTTTCTGTTGATCTAATTAATTTCATGCAAGAAACTTTTAAAACTATGTACCTTTTTTTAAAATATGCTTTATATTTACCTCTTTCCTTAATTTTGATTATTATAATATTATATTGGGTAGATAGCGCTTTGGTCCTAAATGGGCCAATAAAATTATCTGTCTCTATTTTTTTTTTCAATTAATTAATTTCTAATGTAAATTATTGCCTTGTTACAGACTACAATAAAAGTATATGCGAAATGTCTTCGTCCAGACATTGAATACAAAACGCTGAGCATTACATTTCAAACAACATGCAAAGAGGTTGTGTCCACTCTTCTTGGAAAGTACAAGATGAAGCATCGAGATCCGAAATTGTTTTATCTCAGCATGGAAGTTACGATGCGTAAAGCCGGTGTCCGCACCCATCTGCCTCTTGACGAAGAAGCGAGGCCAGCGGTCTTACAAAGTTGTCATCCCAAAGGCGATTCCAAGTAAGAATTACAATACAAATTGTTGCAATAAACCAACAGAATTAACGTAAGCATCTTTCTGTTTTTCAAGATTTTCTCTACAAACAAGACGCGGAGGACTAGTGAAAGTTTACGACTCTGCTCTCAATAGCAACTCACAATATAAAAGTCTATTGATAAGTGCGAAAACATCCGTTGATGATTTAATTCACCTCCTTCTGAATTGTTCGAGCAGCAAGGAACGCGTAGAACAATTTTCTTTGTACGAGGTGAATAACGAAAAAGAGCAACAACGAAAATTGCACCCAGACGATAGACCACTTCAAGTACAAGCTATTTGGCTTCCAACTAACAAATGCCACTTCTTGATCCGCCGAAATCCCGATTACCTTCCATTATCCCGAAGAAAATTCTACTGGCCTCCAGCCATATCCTCATCAACTTCACCGACGAAATCCACCCAACAGTCTGTGAACCTATCTAAATCACAATCATCCCTTTTAAGCAGCAAAAAAGAAGCAACGAAAACAACTACCAAATCCAGTATCCCGCCTACAATCGCCGAAAACAGCAAAAGTAACAGCGGTCAAAGCCCTTCCTATGCAGACTACGAAAACTACTTTTACATTTAAACTTCCCCCCAAATTATTTCTAAATGTAAGTTGCAATAACATTACAAAATGTATTCAAAAATTAACGTTTTTTTAATTTTTTTTTATAGGAGTGAATCTAGTTCGTCTCTGGAGCATTTTTTATGAGACTCTTGACCAAAGAAATTCGTCTGGAATGAATGCCTCCTCTTTCAATAACACTCAGCTTCTCAGTTTTTTCTTGCATTTCAAATACGATTTTAATAAATTCAGCGTACAATACAGCACTTCGTAAATTTGTATAAAACCCAAAGATTAGGTTATTAGCACGTAAGGTTTTATTTTAAATGTAATGTGACTTGTATATTTTTGTGTTTGAGTGCAATTATAAAGCATTTAATTTAAGTTTCCTATGTATTATTTTCGTTTTAATGTAAATTATTTCTATACCAAAGATGGATATATGTTTTTTTGTAAATATTTTTATCGTTTCGTATGTATTTCTTAAGGCATTACAATAATAAATAATAATTATTCGTATGGGATACCATGAAACATCCCTGAAAATTTTAATTTCTTCTTTTCTTTTATTTACATAGCTTCATTATTTATATAGCTCCTCTACAGTAGTTCTTCGAGTTCCTTAAACTGGTATTGTGATCGAGCTTCTTTTACATTTTTATAAATTCTAAATTCCTCTATTTTTTTTTATTTGGTAACTGGTATATTTTGATCCCTTTTGCAATTATATAATTGTTTAGCGCATCAACTCTGCTCTTCTCCGTTCGGAAGTTTTTTTTTGTTATTTCTTGTTTCATATGTGTATGTTTCAAAACTCATATGTAACTTTAAGTTAGTTTTCATTTTCTTGTTTTTTATTATATGAATTGTGGTGCACGTCTGAATCTTCATTAATGCATCCAGGTCAGGGAGCAGTACCCCACTCTGTTAAATATGAGCCATCGTCGGCGAGGAACTCTGCGAACATTTCCGAGCTTCTTATTCTATACAAATCCACCCGCTTTAGATTAACCATTACAACCATATTTCCATCTTTTATACAGTTTTTGTCTTCAATTGACATGATAAAATGTAAGTATAAGTTATGTTTTGGTAATTTATTGTTGCAGTAAATATTGTTATTGAATTACATTCTCATAATACTTGTTCTATATACATACAGTAGTAAATTTAAAATATATAAAGGTTCCCATTTATATATTTTTGAAACAGTGTGATTATATAGTTATATGCAAAAAAAAACTACTATTTTTACTTATTTCTAATATTAATTATTACAAATAGTTCTAATCAATGGTTACAAAGAGCATGATAGTACTTAATAATTTAAAGTTAATACAATACAATAGTTTTCATATCTTTCATAAGAAACGTACTATGTTTCTATATAAATAAACTTCTACAATAAAAATAGTCTTAATAATCAAAATAAAGTTTGTTAATTTTTTTTCTATTTATAGACATTTATATCAATTAATATTAATAAAAAAAAATCTTTTGGCCCTATTTCTAACCACTTTAGATGTTTAACAGCCACAACAAATTTTGGTTGGTATGTTTGTGATTTGAACCAACTTTTATAATTTATATAATTAATATATAAATAATTAAAACTACTTATGAATGTATTATGAGTAATCATCAACATCATCATTGGGTGTGGAGGCTGCTTGAGCTTGCTGTGCAGCAGCTTGCAATTGCTCCCATTGTTGTTGGTCTGCAAAGGCTTGTTCTTGTCGCGCTCTAGCAAAAAGTTCCTGCTGCTGTCGAAGTAATTCCTCTTCTGGAATGCCCAAATTTTCCAATCTTGTGCTCTGCCTCCTTCTCTTGGCTGCTACAGCCTTACAATCTTTCAATACAGCCTCAGCTTCAGCTTGATAGTCGCCAAATCCCAATTTCTCCAATGCTTAAAAAAAAAAACATAAATGATCTTAAAGATAAATGTGGTTTAACTTACCCAAAAATATATGCTCAGCATTTATTGTTTTCTTATGCAGTTGGTTACATATCTCATTCGCTTCTGAACTGAGAAGATGTATAAATTCAGTGCAGCAGTTCAACACCAGCTCTCGGGCTTCGTTTGCTATTCTAACAGATGGGACTAGTTCTTTAATCATCTTATTCATACTTGCCCTAGGCAGAGTCAACTCGTCGTCCTCATTGTTCCCTATTGCACTAGATGTATTAGGCGTAGTCATTCTAATAAAATTTATTAATAAATTGTTTGTAAATAAATGAATTTCTAACCTATGATTTTATTGAGAAATATTGGACGAACATACTGGCAACCATGGCAACTTTACAATTTCACAATCTAAAATATAACCAACTTATTCTTATGTTTTGTTGGCATTTCTGCCATTTTAGAGCAACTGCACATGCTTTGCATCACCTCTTTTGCCTAAATCAATTCTCACCCAAGATGGGTATTAAAAGGGAAGGTCGGTAAAAAAGAAGAATTCTCTGCAATGAAGATCATCTAAAGGTAATTATATATTTATATTAATATATTTTACAATATTGTATTATTATTGTAATAAATGCTTAAAAATAAGTACAAAACAAAAACACTCTTATTAAAATTTAGTGATTCGAGATTTTTTTAAATGGACAAATATTTTTACAATTATTTCAATGTAAAAAGTTTGTCATACCCATAAGATTATCCTAGTAATTTCCTGTAATTATGCAACACTATTAAATAAAATGTAGCTCATAGTGCACTGGTCTACGTTTTAGAATGTGTTAATGTATGGGTACGAGGGTTGTGAGTTCGAATCTGCATAACCAAAAAAATCAAACGTGAGTTTTTGGAAGGTCAACTGGGAATAGCTATTTAATTAAATAAAATGAAAATCAACTGAATATTAAGGGCGGCCGTAGTCTTGTGAACCTGTGGTTATGATCGCTTTTATCACGAAAAATTTGAATAAAAATTTGTTTAGGTTGACCTGTGTGAGGGTAGAAATAGGGCAAATAAAGAAAAAAAAACTTAAAAATAAATTATATAATATTTCGCTTAGGTATGTATGATAATTTAAATTGTTGCAAATGTAGTTATTGTTAAGTTTATATCAACATTTAGAACAATCATTAGCGAAGGAGAGAAAATTATATAATAATACAGTTATTGCAATTGCTGCAAACTTCATGTAAAAATATTAGAAAGTTTGTAAATATTACACCAGGTTGCACTGGGTTGTACTTTATGTTTTGGTTTATTTAGGTTATGGTTGTTGGAAAACGAAGTTTGAGCAGTAGTGATTAATAGATGTAAGTATTTATTACTTTAAAAATTATGAAATAATTCACTATAAATATTCAGATTCTGGTGCCAACTTGAAATGTAAACTTTATTTTGACGTTTGGTTTTTTAGGTTACGATCTACCTCACATTTATTATTTTCATACCAAACGAGAAAACATAGCTCTGAGGCATTTTTGAATGCTATGTAATGTGAACTGACATAAGTTATTAATTTTAGATATTCTAACATAATGGATTCTCAATTGACAAATAATAAGAAAAGTTTGCGCAGATCAGTAAGAGTGATTACCCCTGACCAGATCAAAAAGTTAGGATTGGATGTGACATTGAGGAACTTAATTAATAGGCAAACAGGTTAGTACAATTTCAAAGTTTTTAAATTCAGTCTAAGTAAATTGTTATAGGAAGTCAAAATGGTGAAGGAAAATTGGAGAAGGCAGCAAATAATAATATAACTGAAGCAAAATTAAAGATTTCCATTCATAAAAGTAATAATATTGATGAAAAAGTTCCACAGCAAGTAATTGAATCAGGGACTAAATCAGTTGATTCAGTAGATGCTTCACAGAAATCTTCTAGGAGAATCAGTAATAAAAATGTAAATATAATTAAAGCCACTAGAAATAGAGCAAATCTGAAAGGCAATTATGAGAGTGAAGACAATTGTAAAGGAGAGGAATCTCCAAGCCGAAAATTAAGAAGTAATACAAAGGCTGATAATATAGTAAAACCACAAGATGTTGATGTAAAAAATGCAGACAAAAATGTAGATTTTACTGATAAAATTAATTTAAAAGAAACCAAGAAACATGATTTATTAACACCTGAAGATATTTCTACACAGCCTACAGTTCCTATTGAAGATTCTGTTGCAAATGATAATTTAGAAAATATAAACCTTTCAGAGGTGGCAGATATAAAAAAATCGGAATCTTTGAAAGAACGTGATATTAATTATAAAGAAAATGAAGATATAGTTACAAACTCAGAAAGTTTAAAGAATGCTACAACTGATGGTGCTAATAAAATTGAGGAAAATAGAATTAAATTACCAAGTGTAACCAGAAAAAAGAGAATTTCAAGTGAGGCAGTGAACAAGATAAAATTAAGCAGAAATAATAATAAGAAGAAAGAAATACATGAATTTGAAAATGTTGATGAAAATGTGGCAAAAGAAAAACCACAGGAAAAAGATGAAATTTCAAGTGTGAAAGAGCAATCTTTAACAGAAACACCCAGCAAGCCAAATTTAAATAAAACTGATACAGAAGAACCTAGTAAAATTGATGTGAGTGGAGATAGTGCAAATGAAAATATTAGCAGCATTGATTTACCAAGTGTATCTAGAAAAAAGAGAATTTCAAGTGAAGCATTGAACAAGTTAAAATTAAGCAGAAATAATAAGAAGAAAGAAATACATGAATTTGAAAATGTTCATGAAAATGTGGCAAACCAAGAAACACAGGAAAAAGATGAAATTTTATGTGTGGAAGAGCAATCTTTAAAAGAAACACCAAGCAAGCCAAATTTAAATAAAACGGATACAGAAGAACCTAGTAAAATTGATGTGAGTGGAGATAGCGTAAATGAAAATATTAGCAGCATTGATTTACCAAGTGTATCTAGAAAAAAGAGAATTTCAAGTGAAGCATTGAACAAAATTAACTTGAGAAGAAATAATAATAGGAAAAAGGAAACACTTGATTTTGAAAACGTTGATGAAAAGGCACTGAAAATAGATGAAAGTATTGAGCAAAAAGAAATTAAATCTTCTGCAAGTTCAAATATTGCTGTTATTGATAAACCTACTAAAATTGCTGCTGATGAACAGGGCACATTAGAAGAAGATATAAGAAAAGATAAGCCAATGGAAATGATCTATGTAGAACAAGATCAATCTATAATTGAAACACCTAGCAAGTCTCAAAGTTTAAATAATCCTGATTCAGATACACCTATAATTGCTGTGACTGAAAAAGATGCAAAAGAAAATGTAAGTAATTTACGAAGTGGAACTAGAAAGAAGAGGATTTCAAGTGAAGCGTTGAATAAGATACATTTGAGAAGAAATAATAATTCGATAAAAGAGAGGCTTGAAGTGGAAAATGTTGATGAAAATATAATAAGAGATGAAAGTTCATGTATAGAACAAAAAGATCAATCTGTAATTGAAACGCCTAGCAAGTCAACAAGTTTAAATAGTATTGTTACTGATGTAACCACTAAAATGAATGTTGTTGAAAAGGGTTTAAATGAAAATGCAAGTAAAATTAATTTACCAAGTATATCAAGGAAAAAGAAAATTTCGAGTGAAGCATTGAATAAGATAAACGCAAGAAGAAGTAATAGCAAAAAGAAAGAAATACTGGAATTGAAAAATGATAATGAAGTAATAGTTAAAGAAACTCCAATGGAAGTTGATAGTCCATGCAAGGAAATAAAAGTTCATTCATTAAATGAAATTCCAAGCGAGTCAACAAGATTAAATAATGAAATTATTGATAAATCAACTGAAATTGCCGTTATTGAAGAAAACATCAAAGAAAATACTAGCAATATTGATTCACCAAGTTTAGATAGAAAAAAAAGAGTTCCCAATTTAGCATTGAATAAGATAAATTCGAGAAGAAATACTAATAAACATAAGGACATACATGAATTGGATAAAGTTGATGAAAATATAGAAACAGAAAAACAGATGGAAATGAATGAAATTTCATGTGTAAAGCAACATAATGAATCTTTAATTGAAACGCCTAGCACAACTAAAATTTGTGCAGATAATTCTACTGAAATTACTGTTGTTGAAATGGGCACAACTAAAAATACAAGCAAAGTTAATTTAACAAGTGCATCTAAAAAAAAGAGAATATCAATCATAAATAGTAACAGGAGGGTAGAAGCTCTTGATACCGAAAATGACGATGAAAAATGTAATTCTGTTATAAGGCCGAATATAGAGAACACTGAAGAAGTTGAAAGTTCAGATGATGACAATAGGTTGGTAATTGATGAAAATACTTCAAATGATAAATGTAAACTCACTGAATCTGAAGAAAATGTTGGTCTGAATGATTCCATAAACCTAAATATTTCATGTACTTCAAGTCAAATAATTATAGAGTCAAAAAATCAAGTCGAAGCAAAAAATTTAAATGATTCTTCACATCAAAATAATTCCACCGAAATAAATAAACGTTCTAGGATAAAAGAACAAGTTGAAACAAAACTGGATTTGAATAATTCTTCGAATTTAAATAATTCAAATAATTTGGAAAAACGTAGACGATCAACAAGACAAGTAAATAACTCAAATGCAACAAGTAGAACTTCCAAGAGGAATTCAATAAGCAAAACAAAAGACATTGTTGTTGAAGCTGAAATACAAAATGCGAAAGCTCATCAGATAAACGAAGCAAAACTTGAAAAAATAAAACTCAAATCTGAAAATAAGAAAGATAATGCATTTTTGAAATTAGAAGATGATAAAGTGTCAAAAAAAGATGATAATATAAATAATAGAGGTGATGAACAACCTAATGACTTAGTCGTGGAAAACGCTAATGAAAAACGAAACAAAATAGCGACAGGCCGAAAAAAAATATGTACTTCAGAAAATAAAGTAACTCTAGAAGGTAAAGATATATTACAATGTGAAGAAATGAATGTAAAGCGCAGCAAAAGAACCTCAGTGAGGCGAAAGGAAGGTGACAAGTCAATAAATGAAGACAGTGATTGTAAGTTGCAACAACCACCGTTGGTGGTTTTAAGCATCGATGATACATTTAGTGAGAACATTAAGTCTAAAGATGATGAACCGGAACCGGAAATTAAAGGAACCTGCAAGAAAGTATCTGAAAGGATAAAAGATACTATGGATGATACAAACGCAAAAGTTAGTAATACTAAATTAAAAGAGTCTCTTATAAAATCAGGCGCAACGGAAAACGAAGTTAATGTTTCAGTAAATGAAATAAATAAATGTGATAAAAAGAGATTTTCTGGTTCATCAAAAGTTACACCGTCGAGGAAGAATGCTAATAAGAATAGTTCGAACGATAATGAAATTAAACCTGTGCAAAAGAAAATAACAGATTTCTTAATTTTCAAAGAAAAACCGAAACCGGATATTGAAACAAACGTTGCTAAATGTAGAAAACGCAAAGCATCTATTGACATAATAGAGTGCGAATCAGATGAACATGATGATGCAGCAAAAAATAAATCAGTTAATGATGAAACAGAATCTAAAAACCAAATTGATAATACAAAAGGTTTAAAGACTCGATCCAAAAAAGCAGTTGCCAATATTGAAGACGACCAAATCAAGAACAAAAATAAATGTACTACAAGAAAATCTAAACGAGTCAAGTCTGAAATAGGTGTATTAAATTATAAAAAATTGGAGAATTCTGAACCGGATTTGTTTAAAGGAAACGAAAACGAAATGGATAAAGAAACAAACAATGTAGCAGAACCTGATACTGCCAATGTTATAAATGATAAAGATACTATTGCGTTGAATTCAAAAGGTAATAAGAGAAAACGATCAAATATTGACGATTTCTTAAATCCTACTAAAAAACTAAAAGAAAACAGCTCAGAAAATGTAAAGAATGATGAAGTTAAATCTATATTTGAAATATACAATACTGGTGCCCAGCATAAAAAATTAACACAACATTATTCAAGTGAATTGAAACTGATGTATGCTGAATTGTTAAAAAAGTAAGTACGTTTATGTTTTGTTTTATTCATTTATTAATATTAATTTAAATTATAGACCAGGTCGTAAATTTGGTAAAATTTCTGGTACAGTTGTTTGTGCGTTGTGCGACCAAAGTTTTAATAACTCTCTTTGGACGACTCACAAATTGAAGCATAATAATTTAGCATGGCGCGTTGGCGAACAGCCATTGGTAAGTTAGAATGTATAAAACATTTCTATATTTATTGCTCATTATTATATTTTTGAATTAGAGTTTAGAACCTCCTGTGATTACAAACATATTAAATGCAATGTACAAGGGCCGCAACAAATTATGTTGTCACAGGTGCAACGAAACAAAAAAATCGGTATTTGGTTTTTTATGTCATTTTGTAGCTTGTGGAAAAAGTGAACAAGAAGTGGAAGAAATGAAAGTTACATGTGAAGTTTGCGCAACTAAAATATTGCCATATTTATATTGGTTACATTACAAAATTCATATGAAGCCAGAAAAAACAGAGCCTATTACGACCGAAGATAATGATATTACAACAGAATCACCATATAAATCACGAGTTGCTGCTAAAAAGTATGTATTTTACTAATCAATTAGATGTTTATTATAACTAATTAATTATCGTTATAGGGCAAATGCTATGATCAAATCTGTCAGCAATTATTTGAATGGAGCTGATGTAAGTTTATGCATATCACAATAAAATTGGTATTTACTTATTACTTTTTAAATTTTGTTTTAGGATCGATATTTCGTTAAAAATGTTTTTAAAAAGTCAGACTTGGATGTTGTTTTAAATAAGGAAATTTCATCTAAAGGATTTGTGCTTTGTCCATTTGATGGTTGTGAGGCGAAAATGGAAAATGTTGATAAAATTATTACACATTTTGAGGAATGCACGTATAAACCCGAAGAGGTAAGAATTTCGTAATATGCTGTGTACATAATATATTAATATGCTTTAATATAGGTATACATGTGCAAAAAGTGCTTTCATTACAATAAGGTAAGAGCAGACATGATAAACCATGTCCAAGTGCATCAGAAGAAAACGAAGCGTAAAAACGATGACGGCGAATTCAATGCAAATGCTAGTGATTCGTCTGAGGACAGTGATAATGAAGATAATAATAAATCTATTACTACTAATAAAAGTAAAAATAACCAAAGTGTTTGTAAGTTATACCACTTACTCCGATACTAAAATAAATATATTAATTTCTAATTTTTAGCTAAATCTTATAAGTTCGCTTTTTTGGGCCAGAAATACAACAAATCATCTCTGTATGGAGCATTGTGCAACAGAAATTACGTATGGATGTTGCAATTGTAAGTATCGTAAATCTCCAAAGTTTATATAATGTATTTTTGTATAAATTTCAGCTGTAAAGATAATTTTAATGATAAAAAAATATTTATGAAGTTTGCGTTTTCGAGCAAATATGTAAATGCAATGGATCCGGTGGATATAAGCAATTACTTGCCAACAATTAAACGTTCTATCAATATGCAGCAGAATATTATAGATTTTTGTCAAAATGAGCCAAAGTTAAAGGAAAATTGTAAAAAATATAAATTGTTTGAAACGGAGAGTAACCAGACAAGTATTTAAGGTCCACTGCGTATTTTACTATTTTCGTATTTAACTTATCTGTTTTAGGTACAAATATATATTGCGGAGGCCCAATAAGTGCAACAACTTGGGCTCCAACTCCATATGACTCTGACACATACAACCAAGTGTTAGCAGTTGCATTGAACTTAGATGCTGAGAAGAGGTACACTTTCTCTGAGATTAATACCGATAAAGGTTTACTGCAATTCTGGAGTTTTGGGAATTTGAATTCTCGGACATTAAAAGATGTGCTGGAACCGGAATTAGCATTTTGCATCGGACATAATTATGGGTATGTTACCTGTATGGAATGGTGTCCTTCTGGGTGTTACGATGAAGATAGATTAGGATTGCTCTGCATATGCTGTTCCGATTCTTTCGTTTATGGATTATCTGTAAGCCAGCCAAGTAGAGTAACGTATGTTTGAATTTTTAATTGAATTCCCAAATCTAATTATTTATTTCAGTAGCAAAATGCTTAACGCTAAGCCGGCGTTTAAATTTTCTTTGAATAAATGGCGAGACATGGATTTAGGAGATTGTAATTTTCATCCCACGACTATTTCATGGTCTAAGGTAGATTATTAATTAAAATAACTTGACATGTATTCAAACCGTAAATATTTATTTAGTCTGCAGGACATAAATACATTGCTATTGGCTATTCAAACGGAGTCGTTGCATTATTCGATTTAAGCACTGAATCTGAATTATTAAGAATGGAAATTGACGATTTACCAGTTTACTTTCCTTATAAGACGTTTTTGGCGCATACAGATGCTGTAACAGGTATTTATTAACATCATCCATATAGTATCATATTTCATATCATACTTTTCTGAATTTCAGGATTACAACTATTTCATCTAAACGGTGGTAACCGTTGGTTGGTTACTGGTTCTAATGATCGTATGGTGAAATTTTGGGATTTGCAGCAAACTGTAATTCCAATTTATATTAATCAACGGACATATGTTAGTCAACTGTTGTGGCTTATTAATTATGTTGGCACAATCGATGCGCATAAGGACTTTCTCAGTTCCCGTACGTATTTGAAATACTAGTGAATGATAACCAATTAATATATTTTTTCTTCAGTGTTACAAAGTACAACGGTATCTCACATTCGAGAGTTTGCTGGCAGTGTTAATAATGTGTTGATGTATTCTGGAACTTCGGTGAATTCCATAAGTTGTAATGAGTGGTCTAGTATCATAGTTCAAGGCAACGAAATGGGCGAAGTGATTGGTTGTCATTTTAACAACTTTTTCTCAAACGCGCCACCAAAGAGATTTGTAAGATGTTTTTACTCCTTATATAATATGTTTTACTAATTCAACACATGAATTTGATTTGCAGTATATTAGCAACATTGGGTTAGAAGGAAAACTGGCTACAGTTAATAAAGATACAACAGTTTATCCTACCTATAAAGATGTTTGTGATAATTTTAACGCAGTTTCCAATGATTATGATATGGTATGTATTATTCCAATATGTAATAATTTGTGTTATATTTGTCTTGCTTTGTTTCAGAAATATTATTTGAAAGTGATTAGAAAGTCGGAGGCTCTTGTCGGCACTAGGGGACCTCATTCATCTCCTAAACCTAATATATTCCCTATACAAGCAGTGACGCAAATTTCGGTTAATCCAAACCGACATAGTTACTATTATACTGCTGCAGGATATAAATTAGGTTTTGTTAAGATTTTCAAAATGAGAATGTTTCAATCCAATTAATATTTTATATATTAATATGCTATATTATTTATTTTATTAATAAATATTTTTATATATTTAATTTCTGTTTTATTAATTATTAATATTGAATAAATATTTGTTATATTTTGTATTTTAAAGAAACACAAGTTAAATAAAAGTCTTTTATTACTATGTCTACATGGTATAAAAAATATATACAAAAATTAAAAATTATATTTTATTCCGGAAGGAATTCATCTGCTGGAACTTTCGCTAAGTAATTATCAATTTCTTGGCGGATGACTTTGTTTGAATAGTCATTGAAAATCGGATTGATTGCGTCCATAACCAAACGTGGGTTCTCGTTATAGAAGTTTGTGATTAAATCAGCTGGAAAGAATATGTATTTAAAACTGGTATTGCTTTCTGGAAACTTTATTTACCTGAGAATTGCAACTGGGGATTCTTTGAAACAATTTTGATAACACCGTCGCCGACGCGGAACTTCGTATCGAATTTGTCGATAGCGAAGAACTCGATGCCATCCTTCTCGAAACGTTTGAACTGTGCGCGCATGTACATTTGAATGTTAGCTGCAATAAAATAATGCATATCATTCCGTGCAAAATTAGAAAACGAAAGTTGTAATGACCACTGCAGCAACAGCGATGGCACTTTCGTTTTATGTAATTAATTATAATAATAAACGACAGCAGGAAGTTATTACACATTTAAAGAGAGACTTACTAAAGTTTCCTTTGAAGAGTCCGCGACTTCTGAGGGGAATGATTAGCAATTGACCTGTGACATCGTGTTCCATAGACATCTCGCATCGTGGAACTGTTAATCTGATCTCTCCTACCATCTTATCAATATCGGCTCTGAAAATTTGCGATTTTATTGATCTGTTAATATTTAAGGCTTTCTTAGTTGTACTTCAAATCGTCGATGATTACGCCCTTGAGTCCGGTAACTCTAACATCTCTCATTACGGCCTTGATGCTGACTAATTCGTTCAAAGTTCTATCGACGGAGGTGACATTGATGATCAATGGATCGATTCCCGGAAAATCCAGTTCTGGGACTCCGGACACAAAGTAGGGCCGAGCGTGTTCGAAGGCATCCAGAAGACATTTCGTGTAATCTTCCGATGACTTCTTGCAAACGGATGCGGATACTCTTTCAGCTGTAGTAAATTTAAATTGTTAATTATTAGGCATTAATTAGAGTTTTATTAAAGAGTATCAAGGTAAACGTGTATATCATACGCGTCAAACTTTATAGGACACAAAAATAAAGCCAACAACCTTGAGAACTCCGAAATAAACAACATCAACATAGCTGGTAAGGCGCAGCAATCGTATTTACTTTCACGTTCTTTTTAGATGTAGAGAAAGTGTGTTGCATTATTTCATATCATTTTGATGCTTTATTTACATTCCGATATCCAGTTTATTCAAAGGAACATGTATATTAACATTGTTTATTAGTTATTATTATTTAATTATTACATATAATTAATACATATGATTAAAATATTACAAATTGGCCCATCAAAGAAAGAATTTAAAATATGCTGTATATAAATAAATGTTATTAACAGTTGTAATGTGTTATAGAGAATAAATGTATAGCTTACGTAGAACTGCAGGATGAACTACTTGGAAGGTAAGAGCAAGACCGAAAACCAGGAGCTTGATCATGTTTCCGTGCGTTGCGAATCTGTGTTGGAGACTTGGCGGAAAGCAAAAGTGAAAACGGTTTTATCCTAAACCCCCCTTTAACCAACCTCGCTCAACTATAAAAAACAACATATCAAACAACTTATTGCGTCATTCCAAAAGAAAATTGGGCATTTAATAGATTCTTTATTCATCTTTAAATGTTATTATGTGTTTGAAATTAATGAGCCATGTGCATCGAATTATCATATAATACAAATATGTCCATAAATTATTAGTTTATTATTATTCTTATTGAAAGTAGTATTGTGGAAATTTGCATTCATCAAATATAGTTTACATTTAATTCCAAAATAAAGGTTTTAGATACAAAATTTTTTGAAGATGAAAAAGCAAGCAAATTGTTTTAGGTATTAGATACTTGGCCCGTAGGATAATTATAGCTTAAAAAAAATATTATTTTAAAATACTATAAAAAAACTCCTAAGCACGTGTCTCTTTGTCTTCATCGGGAATCCAATGGTATGTTCTTATATAGTCGCTATCAGGTGGATATAAAAATCATATTTCTATCTTTCACATCATATCGATTTATAAGGAACTAGCATGTTCCTGTTATATGCAAAATTATTGATATTGTTAAATAATGAAAATAATGATTTGGGAAAAGTAAGATTTATTTATGATTATAAATCATCTAAAAGAGTTTGTTATTTGCAAAGTGAAACGTGAAATAGACCTAAATGGAATAATAGAAAAAAAGACATGAAACTTAGTAGTTCTTAAAAAGAAAGCACTTGTGCAACCCACGCAACATTTGGTAAATTGAATCGCATGAACTCTAATGACTCCTGAACAACGTGCAGGAGACAATTTCACACTTTCTTTCTCACGGACGACATCAATCGAAATCAAAGCACTCGCATGTCCCGTAGAAATTTCCTTCCTATCAAAACACAAAGCACTTTTTATTTGCAGAATTGCACACAATGTACACAATCTCCCGTAATTACTACCACCACTTTTTTAATCCCGCCGCTAATTGGAAGCTTTCCAATTTCCGTTTTCTTCCGGTTTCGTTTTAAACAAATCATCTCCACATCATTAGCCGATTGAAAGTATTAATCAATTACGCAATTGCAATCATCAATTCCAAATGCAACGCAACTCATCAATTTCACTTAATTAATAGTAGAAATTAAATTGGTTTTCGTATATTATTTTTTTTAAATAAATATATTTATTATAATTTATGAAATATACAGTATAAATAGAATAAATAGAAACACAGAACATTTATGGGAAGAGTTCCGCAGTTGAAAACTTCAAAGTAATTTTATTGGAAATGTCGGTGAATTTCGCTGCAAGCGATCGTTGCAACGGAGGCCTGATTTCGTTCAAGAGAATATCGTTGCTGTCGTTGATCGCATCGTTCGCCGCTTTTCCTAACGCTGCGTTGCCATTGAACAAATTTTCTAAGACGATGTAACTGTGTCCAATGGTGATATTCAGATCCATACCATCGAATTTCAAAAACTCCTGACCATCATGTTGGATGCGATTGCCTTTTAATACAGCAGAGAACGCGTAATCCGCTAAAAAAATCAAGAAATTAAACTGATTTTCTCTCTTGCCTAATGTATTTTTACTCACTGAAATTTCCAGATACAGGACCTTCACCTAACAGATTTAAAATCACAAATTTCGCATCGATTTCATATCTTCCAGCGAAATTCAGCTTAGGCAATGTCACGATGAATGCGAATCGGTTTTTAGGTATGTTTGCCCTGCAAAGTTATATGATTAATTTTAGTTATGAAATCAATCTTTGGTTTACCTTAAATCTTTAATTTCAAAATTAGACGCGCCCCAAACTTTCAGTTGCGTTATGTTCGCGGAGAGTCCGTTCGATCTCAGTTTAATCTCATCTAATTCCAAAGGCTCCAAAGGTGGCACATCCAATTCCGGTATTCCTGTTGCAAGGACACCCTTCAAACTATGCACTGAATTTTTTATGCATTCAGCCAGCTTCTTATCGTTCGATTTGCACACATGGATGTAATCGGCTGGAAAAAAAAGAGTGCAAGTTTGTTCTTAATATACGTTAATTGCTTGATACAATTAAAACTATATTTAGCAACCAATCAAGGAAAAATCCTTGATCAGCATATTGGTCACAATTTAGTAATATCAATTAAATAAAATGATAATTATGATTTTAATTCAAATGTTTATATTAGGATGGAAACAACAGTTGCAACAGTGTCTTTAGTAACTTTACTTCTATAAATACATAATGTATTTACATAATCTTATAATTGTTGCCATAAATATTACTATTATTATGATTAATAAATACATTAATTGCAACATGATAAACTTACGAATGGCACAATAGCAACTGCTAATTAATGCAACGAGGCAGATCAGTCTAGAAATGTTACACATGCTGATGGAACAAGTCGCACGAAGAAATCTCATTTTTTTTTATTACGAAACTAAAGACGCCGCTGAGACGCTAAAAACGATTAAAATCTAGCAGACAAATGCACGCATTTTATAAGAAGCAACTGTGAATCCTTGAAACCAATACAGCTTAATTACAAAATAACTTTCGGCCGGCAGAGGAAAACTTACAGGCTATTTTATATTTCCGGTTATTCTTTATTTCTAAAGGTCGCAAAATGGTCGAAGGTCCTTATATTACAACAATTATATATTTACGTGTATATTTAAAGCAGGTGTCGTTCGATCTTTGGAAATTGAACGACAAAAACAACAATTTATATAGCAATAAGTTATGTCAGTAAAATGCTAAAATGCATTGTGTTTACATTGTTCACCATAGGTTTTTTCGATTTTTCACCTTCAAAAGTAATTTTAAAATAAAATTTTCAACGATTTACAAAATTATTAAAAAGTAAAAAAAAAAATATTTGGTAGTATATTATTATTATTATAAAATTGGACATTGAAAAAATGGTTAAAAACAAGGTTACAATGTTTTCGAGGACTTTTAAAGATGACTGAATTTCGACCTGAATTTAATAATTAGGTAAACGAGAAATCCAGATTTTTTTTCATTTGCTTATTTTTCAACAAATATTGTAGTTACTGATAAAACATTTTCTGTTCTTTGCATTTCGCATTTGAGTGAAAATTTTCCATGAAATATTTCAAAATTATAAAAATCAAAATTGGTCATTTATTTCGACTACAAAAATTGGATTGCAAAACTTTCTTAGTAGACATTAGTTCTCCATTCTAAACCAACTAAATTTATCTATGCAAGGAAACATAACATTTTTTTCATGAGACCATGAAAATGAAACTTCGTAAATGGATTCGAAGAATAGAATCAAAAGTTTTTGAAATGATTACTGATTATTATAAAACCATAACTACTGAAAGGTTTTATACCACTGGATAATTTGTCAATATAATTCAATTGAGCCGCAATAGAAATTGGTGGGACAAGTGGCAAAAACAACTTATTTTTTTAAGTATGTTTATTTTTGTCACTTAAGTAAAGAATTATTGGGCTGGTTATATAAATATATGTGGGGTTCGGACCCCTATGGCCCTATAATAAATTTCATTCTAATTACAAATAAAGTACATGAATGTAGAAAATATATTTTTGTGCTCATATGCAGCCAAATATGCGTTTCATTTGAATATGTAATAGATTAGATTAGGTGTTCAAATGTTGATTTATTATTTATTGTATGAAATCGATATGCTTCAAGAAATACGTGTGATAAAAACGAACAAATTTAACAAGTTTTATATAGTACATAACAACCGGATTTATTTGATCTTTGTTTGGAGGTCGCGGTCATGATATTTTGTGAGATCACCAACATAAGACAACAAAAGTACAGTAAAATAATTGTCACATAATATGGGTAATAAGTATAGTGGTAATAATAAGATTTGAAACTAAAATGTTTATGTATTTTTTGTTAAAATGTTTAATTGATTTTTGCTACAGAAATAATATTTTTCAGATATTTTAGCCAATAATTAGACCAAAAATAATATATAAATTAATAATACCTTCTTTATTTTTATTGAGTTTTGGCAAATTATTATATAAATATAATTATTAGAAAAATTGTTAATAATCCCTACTAAATTTGATTTTAGTTTGATATCTATTTCATGTGATCAACTCTACGAGCAGCAAAAAATGTATAATACAATTTAATGTTCACAAGTACTTCAACTAATTAATATGTATTATCAATAATCTAATCTTTATCTATGCAAATAAGCAAACTAGATAGCAGGTTAAATAAACATTATTAAACAATTTGCAAAACAGGAAGCTAGTTATTAAGGACAAGCCGCTGCAAATAATGCGACTGCAAAAAATTATTAACGTCAGATTTTAAGTTATTTCTGGATACTGTTGACTCAGTTGGTTAATGAAATTGCATGCTAAATATTATGTAAGGAATATTGTTCATGCATTTCTTCATTAGTGTTTTCAAAAAGTATCACTCAAAGTATTTAATATTTTCAAGGATTGCATTAATTGAAAAATGGAATGTTATGTTTGAACATTTAATTTTATGTTTTAACTCTTAGTTTTTATTAAAAAAAAAATTCTATTAATTCTACATTTCGTCACAAAATACGAATAAATTTGATATTTTTGATTTGATATTTTTTATACATTGAACAATATCGATCTATTTTAAAACTAATATTTGTATCTTTCTGAAACCATAAACCATACCCTATAATTCTAGAAAACATCTTTTGATCAATTTTTAATTGTTAAATAATAATCAATAAATCAGTCACAATTTGTAGATTTGCTTGTATATCTTGTTAGATGTTTTTCTGTTTGTTTTACTTTCATATCATTTATACATTGAACAATATCGATCTATTTTAAATCTAGTACAGTGGAACCTCGCTTTGTCATTAGTAATTATCACCTAATTTAAATTTAAGAACGTTTCAAATATTTCCACGTCTTATTACTAGATTACTAGGTTAATGCAAATTGTATACCAGATAGAATTATACTTCATACACAGCAAAACTTCAAAGGGTCTTAATGTAAACCTCTTGAATGTTTGCCACTCACAAAAGTAACTAATTAGTTTGGCTTCATACATCAACTACATACACTCAAAGAAAACATATTTTTTTAGAAAATTCGTAAATAAATATGATATAATAATAGAGATTTATCCGGATAAGAAAGGTAGATAAATATATTGTTATTATTACCGTATTATTTTTAATACACTTGTGTTATCTCTTTTTTTTTTCATTGTATTTTGATTCAATAAAATACTCCAAATATATTAGACAAATATTTTTGTTTTGTTTTGATCGTATTTGAAAAAGAATATTTCTGATTGAAAACCATATATTAATGAAATAAATCATGGTTTTTATTTTATTTTATAAAATTAAATAATTGTTATTTGATTTACAAGTTTTGAAACAATATTTATTTTTTTTTTATAAATTATATAAGAGAATAAGAGAAGAAAGAAGCATGGAATGATAATAATGTCATAGTTAGAATTTGTGTAATTGTGCTAATATTTATTTATAGTACTCTTTATTTAGTAAGATATTGTTATCTATATGATTTTCATAGGAAATTAAAATAAGTTTAATGACATTCTGAGACACGTAATTATACACACAAACACATGTCAGTTGGCCGTCGCGGCGCTTTTTCTCCCACCCCGAGAGAATTCTCTGTGATTGAGTTTCAGTTCGCTCGTGAAATTGAAACCGCGAAGGTGAAACAATTGCATGCAAAAAAAAAAGGATGTCACTTTTATCTATAATTGTAGTATCAATTTCCGTACAATGCGTTTCGTGTTTTACCTCGTATTTCAAAAATCCGCAAATTACATTACCGAAATGCTGTCCGTTCGACGAACACTTAGAATTTAATGGAATATACAACTGCGTGTACAGTGAAGAATATTTCCAAATATTTACGGAATCTGTTCGCAATTTTACCAGCTGTTCCTCTAAGTGCATAGATTTTTTGGTGAATGATTCTAAACACACCTTAGTTGAGTACGATTGTTACAAGCGAACGTTTCAATCCGTCGAGTATTTGGCATATCCGAAATGCTGCAGATTGGGTTTTCAGTATGAGGAATCGGAGCATCGATGCATCAAAAGCAACAGAGTGATGAACTTGGAAGGATTCACCGTCTTCAACATCAGTCTTTCGCATTGTCCTTTGAAGACGCATGCCATAGTCGATTACGTCGATTACGATGATAATTTAAGAATAGATTATGGTTTGGTGGCATCTTTGTCGAACAGAAATTTCCAATACGGAAGTTATTGTTTGGATGAAACGTCTAATAGTACAAACTTAGTTAGAGCATGCCAAAAATATGAAGATGTCTGTAAAACGTCTTTTGATGATAATAAAATATTATGCATTCGAAAATGCTGCCCCGATGGCCAATCTTATAAAAATGGCAAGAAATGCGTGAAAACTTTCAATCATGGAATTCAATTGAAGAAAAATTTCTTCCACACCAATGAAGGAGGTACGTAAAATGGAAACTTTCCAATTGATTCTTTATTTCTTTATTGATTTTCAGATAAATTTGCAATAATTCAATCTCATGAAGGAACAAAATATCCTTGGAAACCGGAGCACTTGTGTGAGGTGGATAAAATTGGCAATTTGAAGTGTGTTATACGCAATGAGACTAAAGCGTACAATTCTTTGGACGCTGTTTACTGCACCGAGGCTCGAGAGACCAAAGGTGTTATACAGCAAATGGTATTCCTATATTTTAACAAGGACTTAAACAAACCTGATATGGATTTCGTCGTTAGTAGCATCCTGTTATTAATATCCGCCTTCTTCCTTGCATTGACTCTAATTACATATTTGCTCACCTCAAAGTGGATGAAACTTTTCGAGAAGGCAAATAGCTGCTATTGTTTAATAACGTTTGTTGCTAATGTAACGATATCTATAGTCAAATTCAAACCTAGTCATTTGTGGAGCTACACTTCATGTGTGTCTTTGGGTAAGTCTGCTTCGAATTTGCTATACACATATATTTAACATCCTGCGTACACAACATAAAATACTTTACGACCCGGTAAATTTGTTCCGTTTCCTTCTAATCAAACCAAATAGTTCATAAATATCATTTATCGTTGCCATTTACTTATAAGATCAGCATATTGGGTGATGTCAATTAAAGTTAAATGCAACAGCGATTAAAATATAATTTACTTTACCAAAATAATTGTTTATAGTATAAAAAGACTGCGATTTATTTATATCATGTTTACATTTCGTAATATATAATTCTAGGATATACGAATTTGCAATTATTTCTAAGATATTTGGATGACGACTAACTGTTTACTTAATGTTTACTTAATCAATAATGACAAACAGAATTAGCGTCTGATTAAAGAAACAATATAAATGACTCCAATATATCTCATATAAATTATTTACTTTATTTATAGTTTAGTATAATTTAATTATAATTGAAATTACTTAGTAAGTAATCATTCCACTCAATGAAATGAAAACAATTTCTTAGCAATATACCACAACAAACTTTCACACAATTTTCTCGATTGAAACATTTAAAAGAGAAACCTCCTAAGACAAACAAATACTTGATTTAATATAATTCTAAATTTGCGAACAACATTCCCAAACTCAGACATTTATTGTGTTCAAACATTGTTTATTTATTGAGTACTTTGTTGATAGTCAAAATTCGTTCAATTTCTTGCAAATATTTATTAAAAATAACATATTTATAGTTACCATATGTAGACTATAAATATAAATTGTATTGTTTATAATATGTATATAATCACTTTAGGTTTGAAAGGTTAAAATACATCAATATGTTGGATTTACAAGCTACAATGAATCAATAAGTATTCAGGTTATATGCGTTTCTATTTCAGTAGACATTGGGCAAACAGTAGCAAATTGTGAACAGATGTTGATCTTTCGAATTAACTTGTATTTTGCTAGTATTATTTATTGTTTAAACTTTATCTTTTAAACAAAAAAAAATATGTATTTTTTAAATAAATTAATTAATTAAATCGAATCAGTTAAAAAAATGTAGGGAATAAAAGAATCGGTTATAATAAAACATTGGTAAATTTAGATACTACGTCAATCATTATTTCTTAAAATATTCATTTAACTGTGTTAAAGGAAACAGTGGGAATTCTTTCGGATTTTAAGCGATTTGTAATGCTAAGTAGATACGTTTTCATTTAATAATCTGTATTAGCTAATTTTTGCAGAAAAATAATAAATAAGTGATGTGATGCGGTGTTATAAAATATAAACGTGTACGTAATTTATTGGTTTTTGCGGTATTTATAGTTTAATAAAAATATATTGCGCTAAATATTTACAACACGTTTATGATTTTGTATTTTTACGTTATTTAGATATCAATGTTTACGTTCCGCCAAAAACTCAATTGATTAACTATTGCCGCCTTGCGTTCTGATAACGATTCAAAGATATTAATTACTAATCGTTTACCAATTAATTAGTGTATTTTTCAAAATATGTTATCTTAATGTTCAGTTGATTTACATTATTTTAACCTGAAACACACATTTATGCTTACGAAGTAATAATTATATAAATAAAAAGATCTGCAACGTCTCTGTAAAGTTTCTGAAATATTTCAATATAATCAAAACATTTCTATAAGGTTTATATGACATTTCTAAAGCAATGCTTCTTGAAATAAAAAACGCATAACTTCAAAACCGTATAAAAAGAGTACACATAAAAAGTGGACCGAGTGTATGTTAAATTCCGTATTACTGACAGAATAACTTTGAAAATATTGATTAAAATAAACAAAATACTTAGTTACAAATACTTTTCAATGTAGACATCACAATTATTTAATAAAAAACGATAAAAGAAACAAATGCAACAAAACAGATAGTGCATCTTCCAAAAATATTATATTTTATTAAGAAATTATCAATTTTAGTTTGGACAGTTAACTTTTTATCATTATATATTTCTTTGTAACAAGTTAGAGCTTTTAAAATTTTGTTCGTAAGTCCGGGAGATCGCAAGTTGGGATATTCCTGTATTAGGTTTTAATTGAAAGTATATTTTTATATACAACCATTCAAACATAAATAAGACAATCATTTAATAAATTTGTATATTGAATGTGAAATAATGATTAAACCAATGTCTGCCCCTTATGGTACTACCGTATATTAAAGATTGGTTAGATCAGTGTTTCTCAAAGTTTTTGGTACGCGACTCCCTTTTGCTCTTAAAAAATTAAAGGATCCCCCGAAGAATGGGTATGTGTAGAATAACATATTGTTCCGTCTGTCATCAAATTTTCTACGACTCCCCAAGTATTGAGAATCTTTGAGTTATATTATTCAGACTTGTACGTTTCTGATGATTTGTAGATCTGCTGCACTTGATGTTGGTTGAATTCAATAAAGAAATAACAGGTTTGGATAAAAATATAGCAATACTTCACACAGCATGGCTAGTTTAGAGCACAGTTTGAAATCGGACTAATTGAGGACTTTAAAATAAACTACACAAAAAGAGACTTGGAGAAAAACGATCATTTATTGTTATTTATTGTTCTGTAGCATATTTTAGAATTTATTTGTATTTTGCTCAATTAAAATTTAGTTTCTTTTTAATTCGTAGTTGAATGAATCCGCACTGATTGAAGCCGCACTATGCGATGTATTGCTATAATTAAATTTTCTTACCTACACATACTAAATTATGTACTATTTTTAATTGTATTTTGCACAATTCAAATTTAGTTAATTTAAAAAAAATATAATTAAATTTGCTTTAACACCTATATATACTAAATTATATACTACAGTGCAATTTGGGTTGCCTATCAATTAAATCAATGATTTTAAACAAACTTCATTTTTCTTCAAGTCTATTAAGATTTGGAAGTTTCTTATCAAAATTAATAATATTGTAGTAATAATAAAGCAAAAATATTATTATTAATAAGTTTCATTTGTCTATTATTGACAATGAATAATTCACATTAAGTTTACAAGAATAACAATATTAATACATAAAGTTATTACTTCATTGTTGTTACAAATTACTATAACATTTAGCATTATTATTTCGATTTACAAAACATTGTTTAGATTTCGTTAATTTTAGTATTCTTAAATATTTTTCTTTCTTTATGTAAGTGTACTAATTCCTGAAAGCCAGTTGCATGTTATTGAGATACTTACGTTAATGGAACCATAATAAAGAATGTATTCATTGTTTGCGGTTTCGAGCTGAAAATATAATACGTTAAAATCATACATTGACCTATTTTCCGTTCATTGTAGCAACATCTCAAAATATAAATATGTTTCTTTTCCAACGTTTTTCTTCATTAATGAAACTAATTAATTAATCATAATTATAATAAACATAATTTATTGCACATTTAAATTGTTTTTTTCAATTAATATTGTATTAAAACATCATTTATCCAAGTTTTTTTTTGTTGAGAACTAAGAAGCCATTAAAAGAAATATGTAAACAAAGTAAATGCGTTGGATTATTCGTAATACGTTTTTAAATAGCAAAGATTTATGTGACTATGTGCGAATATCAGTAACAAATGTTTTCTTTACTTAAAATTTATTCAACGTTGTATTTTTTATTACATTGTAATTAGAAATATTTTCAAAAGCATGTATAAATTAAAAATTGATATGAATATTTTCTATATATACAAAGAAATGGATTATTTTAAGTAATAAATTGTATAATGAAATATGATACACATAGTACACAATAACTCTCATTTTAGGTATCACAAATTATTTCATCTCTATTCAATTGTGTTTTTAAATACAAAGCTTTTTGAATATTCTAGATAAGTTTGTTCTTTTCTCAACAAACATATCAATAGCACTTGTAAATTAACAAGAATGAATAAACACATTTGAAAAGCGAAATTAATTTACGTTATGTAAACATTCCATTTCCACGTTTTACTTATTTTCTACGGTATAATAACAGACTTGTCATTTTTCACTCATAATTGAATGAATTATATACAATATACATACAGTGGAAACTCGCTTAACGAGTTTAATCCGTTCCAAAATTTCATGATCTTTACTCGTATAGTGAAACATATTCAAAAGTACACATAATGTGTGTACGCAAGTTTTAAAAATGATGTAGCAAAAATCCGGGATTTTTTCTTCTCATCGTTACTCGTTTGGGAAACGTTGCTCGTTAAGCGAGTCCTTTTTCTTAGAATTCATTTTGACCGTTAACCTGTATTTCAATCAGACAGTTCTTAACAATTCATACTTTAATAAGTTTTTATTATTTTCTGCAATAACCACAGGCTTAAATTGTCTATAGTACCTTCATTTGTATTGTCTTATGAACAAGGGCGCATTATTCGTATAATCCACGGAAGCCAAATATCTTAGTACGGTCCTGTGTATATTATTTATATTAATTGTATTCATAAATTAATGAATATTGTATATGTACAATATTACTGAATAATTAATAAAAAAAATACGTACATTATCGGTGGCAATCGCAAGCCCGACAACCGAAATCCCGGCTGGCTCAAAATCTCGACGTTCGAAATACCGACTATATCGAAATACCGACTATGTCAAAATCCCGACTATCATAATCCCGACAATCAAAATCCCGAATATATCGAAATCCCGACAGTGTCTTTTATTATTATAAATTTCTACAATAACATTTTTATGGTAGTCGGGATTGCGATATAGTCGGGATTATGGTAGTCTGGATTTCAATATAGTCGGGATTTTGATTGTCGGGATTATGGTAGTCGGGATTTTGACATAGTCGGGATTATGGTAGTCGGGATTTTGACATAGTCGGGATTTCAAGCGACGGGATTTTAATACAGCCGGGATTTCGATACAGTCGGGATTTCAATAGACGGTTGTCGGGCTTGCAATATAGACCCATACATTATATCAACAATACAAAAAAAATGCTCTTAATAAAATATGTATGTGTAAAATAAGCATAATTTTTGCACATTATAATTGCACTGCAATGCAAAAAAAATGAAATTAGTAATTTCCTGCTCATTAATTTTCTGTGGGAATTTTACTTTTTTTGATTATTTGTAACCGCTAAATTACCTTGAAAGAATTACTTGACATTCTTTGTTAACTTTGTTAACATGCAGATAGTTTGACGAGTAAAAAATAATTGTATTACTATTGATATAAACAGCATTTAATATTCACACCGTTGAGTCTGCCATTATTCAAAACAATTATAAGCTACAAATAGCGTCTACAATCTTGTGATTGTACAAATATTGCAGTAGGTG